TAACACAACTCATCATGCGAAAAATGGGACGAATACCATTTCCAGGTTTGATATTACCCGGAGGTAGCTCTCAAATTTGAGTTGTGAATTTTGCACCGGATTCAACAGTGTTTGAGCAGTACTGTCTTAATCCGAAATAAATTATGTAATCAACGGTTAATCAACAAATTAGTTTAAATGCACGAATATGTTTACACATTAATCCAACACAAGTGAGTGTCGAGATTTCTTTGAAAACTTATTTTAAGAAACACCTACTAGTTCGAAAAGTATGACAGAAAGTTTAAAAAAGACTGTTTCAGTACTGAAGCCCAAAATCTGAAACAGATGCCTTGCGTAATACTCGAAGCCGCTAGTCTAATGATGGATGAGGGTAAATGAAAGAGTCAATTAGAAGTGGACTCTTAATCAATTAGAAGTCTCAAGAACGCCTTCAACTCTGTTCTCCTCCATGGTCATGAAAGGGTTTCAAAAGTTACTGCAGAAACAAATGAAAGAAAACAGCTCCCTTAAAAATCTGATGGTATGAAGAACAGCGATGAATGTTTGGTACGATGTTATCCAAGATGGATATGCTTCTTTTTTCAGTTGTCTTATTCGCAAAATCTATATATATATATACGTCCACCGTCCGTTATAACGTCGTCTCTAGTTATATAGACCCGAAGATTGGTTATGAAAACGAACTTATTTGAATCAACGCCGACCCGACGAACTTGACACACAACCTGCAGCCGCAATTAAAGAAGCACATGTACGCCTCGGATTGCCAGAAAGAGGTGAATGTACGCGAAAGTAGAGGGAGAAAAATTGTCCCCTCCATCCGTCGGTGTTGAATAGGACTGTGTGTATGCAGCTGTTCGAGAGCGCCGGCTACGACGGTGTGAGGTAGCTGGCGCTGATAACGTTGCCTTACTCCTTTTACTCGTCGTCCCGCAGCAGATGCAATGCACTAGCTAATGAGGCAAACGAAGGTTTGACGGGCATCTCTGAAGCGATGATTGCACGCAGAAACGGTAATTTGGCGTTCGCAACCATGCTTCTAAAATTTCGAAAAATGTCATTCTTTGTTTTTTCTC